GGAATATTGTTTGGAATATCTGTGTGCATGGTATCCTTTTTGTGGTCAAAATACAGTATGACTCACCAGGACTCTGTCCCCCTTTGCTGCAGTTCCACTATGGACATACATACTTTATCAACGTTACTTGAGAACAAACCATGCTATGACAAATATTTTGCTTAATAGTGGAGAAAGGCCCTTAGTGATTCTCAGCAGAATTATATGAATTTGGACTGTGAATAAAATATAGATGATCTTCTGTTTCAATCTGCCTACATATTAAGATTATCCTTATAGACCATAAATATCCCTCCACTCTGAAGCATGGTGGGTACTTTGGTCCTTGAGGCATTAGAATTCAAAGATATGCCTGTGTTAGTCTGGAATATCAGTCAACAAGGGACCTGGTACTATCTCTGAGACCAATTGAGTGAAAGAAATTTAGCATAAGCTTTTGTATCTACACTGTAGAATTAATTCAGTTTGACACCACTTTAACCGCCAAAGCTCAATGCTGTGAAATCATGGCAGTTGTAGTTTTAGAAAGTCTTTTGCTTTCTCTGCCAAAGTGTGCCGGTGTGTCACCAAACTACAACTTGTTAGCACTGAGCCATGGCAGTTAAAGTTGTGTCAAACTGCATAACTCTACACTGTAGATACATACTTTTTCTACTGAAGAAGTTTAAGTATATGTCTATACCAAGCAGGTTAGCTCCCCTCCTTCATCATGTGCAAACCCCATGAGACATCAGAAATGTCCACGATGACCAAGAGCTCAGATGGAGCTCTGTGGCCAACTAGAAGTTGCAGTGGTGACATATGCATAATTCATCTTTTCCATGTCCTATTCAGTGCAAGGCGACAGGAACAGTGTCCATTTGGATAATGGATCAGTCTAAATCAGACCAAGCCTGCTGTCCAGGCTGCCACGAAGTCCTAGAATATGCCTGGAGTTCCAGAAAACTCTGGAATATCCACTGACTTGGCCAAAAGTGGGTAAAAATTGGAGTATTGTGGGAAAATTTAACAATATTCATCTGCAAGTGTTGTGTTTCGTGGGGACAGCCAGTGATCCATTTGCGATGGGTATGGGGTTTTCGGCCAGAGTAGGCAAACTGTCAGTCTACAAAACCTTATGCTAAAATTTCTTTCACTTAGTCTCAGAGGTGCTCTACATTCCTTTTGCACCTGAGACATTAGGGCCAATGGATCCTTATGCTTTCAGGACTTAAAACAAGAATAAAAAGAACATTATCACATGGCTGTCCCTTTGCTGCTGCTTAAAAAACTACTTTAGATATCCTGAACATTTTACTCAAGGGTGTTTTATATCCTTTATACAGTATTCAGATATCTTATTTCTGAATCTGATTTTTGAAACATTAAATGGATTCCCTCGAAAACCAACTATAGTATGTAAATTCCTTTAAGTATTTAGTACTAAACTATGCTTAGTTCATTAATCAAATTCACATTTTTAAATCATTTTATTCACATCTGTTTATCTGTAGATTTTCATGTATGGTTTTATGGTTGAAAAGGAGAAGAGACTCGCTTTTCTTGCCTGCTGTGATATAATGCTGATTAGCTAAATTTGCCTTGTTAAGTGAGATTAATATAGTTTGACAGCACCTTGAGTAAGAAGCAATAATTTCTGTTGATACTAAACAGTTGGCCACTTTCAGTAGAGAAGAGGAATGTTGTCTTTTGTCTTGAACAAGATTTGACCTCTAGTGTTTAATTCCAGTGAATCCAAAAATAAAATAATATATGAATTATGAATGTTAGAATCTAACATTTGAACTATTAATTGGAATAACAAGATACAATTGTGTTTATGCAAGATGAACTGAAAGCTTTATTTTAAAAGTGTAAGAGTATAAGATGCTCTCTGGTGAAGGTAAACACAACATGTGGAGATTGATTTTAAAATTAATATTGGATACCTGTTACCCAGCTTTTAAAACTGATTCCATACATTATTCTTATTAATAAGTGAAAAGTGTACACAGATGTATGGAAACATACATGTTCCGTTCTTTATAAATATGATTACTGGCTTTATTTTATTTTTATTTTTTTACCCACTAGTACATTCCAGTGGAGTATGATTTGAGAGGATAGCAAAAAACGATTGGAAATAATGCTATCTAATTTATTATGCTTGGTTTCAGTATTCTGTTCAAACACATTCAAAATTTTAAATATACATTATTTTATTAGAATTTTTGAAAACATAAAAAGAACAACAGATACTTCTATATTTATCAGAAAATTATTACACTGTTGAAAAGAATACTATTTTCAGGTCACATACCTAAAAGAGTTGTACCTGAAATACCTTAAATCAGCACCTGAACTTTCTTTTGTTGTACTTTCAGCTTCACTCACTTTTTTTCATGTCAGGAGTGACTTGAGAAACTGCAAGTCGCTTCTGGTGTGAGAGAATTGGCCATCTGTAAGGATGTTGCCCGGGGAACATCCTGTGGGAGGCTTTTCTCATGTCCATGCATGAGAAGCTGGAGCTGACAGATGGGAGCTCACCCTGCTCCCCGGATTCGAACCACCAAGCTTTTGGTCAGCAGTCCTACTGGCACAAGGGTTTATCCCATTGCACCATTGGGGGCTCCTCGGCTTCACTCACTAACACCCAATGTTTCATTATAGCTTGAAAAAAATATTCAGGCAACTTATTGAACATTTTGTTTCACTATAAGTCTGTAGGTACAGACAACAAATGACATTTGTTATATTTGACTGAGAAGGAAGAGATTTTGAGAAACATCAGTGTGTTTGCTTGTTAGTCTGTTCTTCAGAACATTCGGAATTGTCAACCCCTACCTCCTCAGAAGAATAACCACTCTCATCAGCTTTCACCTGTTTTTGGGTTTAGGCATGATGAAGCTGAGTCTACCTCTTCCTCCCTTCTTCCATGTTCAGGTAGTAGAAGTTGGACCAGAAGGAAAACCTTTCCATCTGCCTCTGGGAGTAGGCATGATGGAACTGTGCTTGCCTCTTTTTTGGTATGCACTGTAAGTTGATATATTTAGTGGAAGCAGTGGTCTGTGACCTTGCATGAGTGATACGAAAGTGACAATTATATGAAGTAGAATATCTGTGTGGGATGTATAAACATAGTCCTTGCCATATCCGAAGGGCCAAGGGGAGAGGGCACCTGAATGCCAGGAACATACAATATCTGTGTAGAGGAATTTACTCAGACAGATAATCCCAATTTATAAGACAGCAGTAGTTCAACATACTTATGTGGATTACTGGGAGATGTGTATATGCATGAGCATGAATGTGCCAAGTGCATCATACAGGCCAAACTGATGTCAGCTAAAATACTAAATCATGTGTTTGAGTCCGTCACATGCTGTTACTTATGTTTGAATAGCAGATAGTGGGAACGCTATTGCATTTGAGAACTTAAAGGTACTGTTTAGGAGGAACTTCACTTCTGTATTATAGTTCTTGTAATCATGAATCAGTTGACATTTTCAGATGTTAAAAATGCCCTTAGCTTTGGTGATTGGTGTCCTGTCAATTTGTAGAGGGCTGCGGGAGAGAAAAGGGTAACATTGAAACTGCCTCAGTTCATTGGTTTTGATGAAAGAAACCATTGAGTATTTACAGTAAGCTGAGAGGGGGGTTTGGAGGGAGAGAGGGAGACGTATATGGTTGTAATACCATAATATATGGCACAGTTCAAGTGTCTAAAGGATGCTTTGACAACTATAATGTGCTCTCTACCCTAAACTGTTGGCTTACCTCCAAAGTGCATTTCAGCTCAGGCATAGGAGGATTGTTGGTTTGTTCAAATTTCCTTTTGCTCTGGTTGCATCTCCTCATGCTGCATCATAAACCATTTGAGGGGGGAGGTTCCCTCTTTCTCAGGAGCAGATGGGAGGAAGAATGGGAAGAAAGGAAACTCTGATGTATGTGTTGGATGTCATGTATGGTTCTTTAGAAATATGCCATTGTGATTTTCCTTGGACCATTTTTGTTTTGTTTTCCTTCACCAACAGTATTGTCTGGTCAGAGATCATGCTCGTTGAGTTAGTAGTACACTCAAGTAAATATCTATTGAATGGCAGCTCAGGGGAATATATTTTAGTGTACTTTAGACAAGGGATTGGGAACATGAAGCCTTCTAGGTATTGTAGGACTGCAGCTCCCAACATCCTTCACCATAGCTCATGTTGACTAGGATTGATGGGGTTTGTAGTCCAATATCATTCAGAGAACCACACATTCCTCAACCCTCCTTTAAACTTGATGATATAAATACTGGATTTTTGTGTCATTAGTGTGTGTCTTAACCTCCAACTTACCTTGGAATCCAAATTCTGGTACATTGGAATTCAGTGGAGCAACTCAAGACTCTTGGAGTTGATTTCTTAAACGTAGCCGACTCAACCTGCACCGTTATGTGACCCTAACTTAACAGTATTTTTATATTTTAACTAGCAGCAGCAAGACGTACTAATGCTCATTTACTCTTTCCCTCCTACCTCCTTTTTATGGAAGATAAACATTTCCCCTTCTGCCATTGCCAAATTATTTAGGAGAAGAGTGTAAATTGAAGCCATTTATCTTGAAATGTGCCATTGCAGCAGACTGTTTATACAAGTGTAAGAAATTGTAACAGAGAAATATTTGGTCTGGTCTGAAAGGAAAAGGTTTCTTTTCTTTCTTTCTTTTTAATAAACTTTCTACATGTGGAAATTTGGGTATAATACTGAAAGAACACATGTCTGGCAAGAATCAACTTAAGACACATCTCTATTTGTGGAATTGGAACAATGATTCTCAAAAGAGAGAGAAAACGTATATTGCTTTGCTGCTGCAGTGTAAATGAAATTCGTTCTTTTAAAACTGCTTGAAGCTCTTAACTGGCTACAGAACATTCCATGCATATGGGAAAGTTTATTGGTGGCCTGTGAGATCTTAGAATGTGAATCCAGAGTAAGTTATTGTTGGCTGATCCCAGGTTGTAAATATTTGTCTGTCAGTTGGTGGACGAGTGAGTCGGGAGTTAAGTTACACACGCCAGAAGATTGGAGAAGAGGCCATGTTTAATCCCCAACTCATGATTCAGACGCCACAAGAAGACTTCGCCAATGTACTAACAACAGAAGCACTGCGACAGCACCTTGATTCTGCACTTCAGGCCAGCAGGGTACATGTCTATATGTACAACAGGTAAGATGGGAAACTAAAGGCTCTATCTCTCTTCCTACCCCAAACTAAGACCCACTTCATACTCTAGAAAAAGTGCTGACAGTGACAGATGTGAGAGGGTCAGACTTCAACTAAGTATCTTTTCATAAGGCAGAGGTACAGGTTGCATTTGTGCATCTCCTTTCCAATATTTGTAGCCTGATCAGTGGATCAGGCTACAAAACCAGTTTTCCTTAATATGCATGGTGAAGGAAACAAGAGGGAAGCCAATATCAATTCCACCCCTATCTAATTCTCTACAACACAGGCACCCCTTTCTTCAAGCCTCCTAAGCATGTTTGCTGGCCACTGGTAAAAAATGATTAGAACTCATAAAAGTTCATTTTTATTACAACTCCCAGGATCCTATCACATCCCCAGTCAAAATGTCAAGTGACTGAGGGATCTTGGAGTTGCAGTGCAAAAAAAAAAAGAAGGGGGGGGGGGGTAACTTCTCCAGGCTCTGAAGATGATAGATACCATAGTTTAGGGTTAGATTTAACCCAAGCATTTTTTAGCATCAGCTTTACAATGTCTCAGGTCCAAAACAAGTATGCATGCCTATATGATATGCTTACAGTATCCTTCAGACTTAAAAGAAAACAGAACTCTCCCTTACATTATAAAATCTTTTTAAAGCTTGTGCTTTGCACAACGCAAGAAAATATATAATATACATTCTACCTGCCACACAGCTATCAAAGTAATAAGACCTTTGCCAGCTAGCAGCCCCTGATGGTGCAATGGGTTAAACATTTATGCCGGCAGGACTGAAGACTGACAGGTTGGAGGTTTGAATTCGGGGAGAGCGTGGATGAGCTCCCTCTGTCAGCTCCAGTTCCCCGTGCAGGGACATCAGAGAAGCCTCCCACAAGGATAGTAAAACATCAAAACAGCCGGGTGTCCCCTGGGTAGCATCCTTGCAGACGGCCAATTCTCTCACACCAGAAGCAGCTTGCAGTTTCTCAAGTCACTCCTGACATTAAAAAAAACCAGCTGACAAGGTAGTGGCAGAGTTCTAATAATTTTCTCAAGAACTCATAATTTAATTCAGAATTCACAATTTGTGGTCATCAATAAATGAAAGCTATTGATGCAATTGGCTTTATGGTTCTAATGAGTTGAGGTGTTAAATGAAGTTGAAGAGTAGAGCCTAAAATTCAAGCTGAACATTAGAGCCAGAAGGTCATCAGATCCAGTTACTTGTTACCACCATAATTCTTGGTAATGTTAACCTTTCGAAGGTTAACTAATATAATTCAAATTATAGTATGCTGCAAAACTGACAAAGCAGAAGTGACTACAAAATGCATTGTGGCAAAAACAGTGCCTAGAAAATAATCCAAGACGAGTGAAAAACTTATTGACAAATGGCTATGCCCTCCACTGTAGAGAATCTCTACATTCATGCACATGGTGAACTGATGTTCTCTACAGTTTCTGCCTGATTCAAGTCCTGTTTACAAAGATAAATTCTTTGTAACAAACCAAAACAGCTCCTATTTTGGCTATTACATATGAGAATCCTTATTCAGTATGAATTAAAACCCCATTTCCTCTGTAGTTTGCCATTTCTTTAAATCTTTCTGGTCTACTTGGGTGGCATATACATTTAATTAATACATGGTTGTCTTACTTTTAATTTTTACAGACAATGGAAATTGGAACACCTATGTCATAAATCAGGAGAACCGATCACAGAAACAGGCTACATGGACAAGGTACAGACAATACCCTTAGTATCTTGTGTACTTTCTGAGTTAATAATAATTATTTCAGACATTCTGTTATTATTTCAAATATTCTATTGGGGCCAGGCTTAGCACAACAGGCTAAACCTCTGTGCTGTAGAAAAATCTTGCAGATTGGAGGGGCAGAAATTCAAGCCTGGGTCAAGGTGTGCACCCGCTGTTAGTCCCAGCTCATCAGCACACTGAGTAGGTCGCAAATGGACAATGAAAGCGACAGCTCCCCTGGCGGCCAGAAAAAGTTAAATAGCCTCTGTGTATGTCTGTATATGTTGTATGTCAAAATTGGCATTGAATGTTTGCCATATATGTGTACACTATGTACACTGTAATCCGCCCTGAGTCCCCTGCGGGGTGAGAAGGGCGGAATATAAATGCTGTAAATAAATAATAAATAAAATAAAATCAGAAATGCGAGTAGATAAAATAGGTACCACTTTTAGCAGGGAGGAAATAAAGGTGCTCTTAAGGACATTGATTGGAGAAAAGCTCCTTGGCATGGAAGATGGAGCGACAGCAAACACACACCTGTGGCTGGAGTCAATCACAGCCTCCAAGGTGCCGGAAATAAGATCAGAAAAACTGCCTTTACCTCTGTTCGTGTTGTCTGCCCTTATTCATTGTATAATCAGCATTGAATGTTTGTCGTATGTGTGTTCTGTAAAGCAACTCTGAGTCCCCGTAGGGGTGAGAAGGGCAGATATAAATACTGTAACCAAATAAATAATAAATTAATATTAATTCTTTTTTTTTCTCTCTATCTTTGACAGATTATAGAACATCTTTACCCTTGTTTAATTATTACACCTTTGGACTGCTTCTGGGAGGGTGCCAAGTTACAGTCAGGGACTGCATATCTACCGTAAGTGTTGCTTGATCTTTCCTACAGTATATACCTGTTTTAAATGTATGGTACACCTCAATGTTATTATTCTCTGCCAAAGTATTTTATCTGTACAACAATGTTTCCTCAGCAAGAAAATATCCCCAAAGTTTCAGATGTGCACATGCCACACTTGCATGCACATACATGTATAATGGATGGAGTTCCATCTTTTCAATGGTCTACTGACTCAGACACTTGAAAGTCTTTGCCGCCCCATAGGGTAGTTGCAATTTCATGCAAGAGTAGCAGCACACCCCTTTTAAACTACTACAGTGTGTGCATTGACATGAAGAGATAACACTATATCAAATGTTTATGCCTAGTGACTGATGCACCATTTGGAATAGCTGGAGCACTCCGTATGAATAAACAGTAACATACTGGGTTGGATCTAAGCTAAAGCCCATTGATTTCAATAGGATTAGTAGAATCACCCTTGGATAGTATTTGGATGGGAAACCATAACAGCATACCAGAAATCTTCAGGTAGAGCTGAAAAATAATCCTGAATTCATTGCCATTTTGAGTTGAAGACATTAGGCTAGATTTTACTCAATACAAGACACTTTCCTAGGATTTTGAAAAGTTATCTCCAGTAGAACTGAGGCAGGCTGCTGAATGTCTATCTACTGACATTACCAGGTTTGAGTAAACTTTGTTAGGGCTAGATTGGAGGGCTAGAGACTCTTGACCCTTTGGTCATGGGGATTAGGGGTGCAAAACTCCTGTGAAATTGGGAAAGCCATGAATTAAACCACTATTTTTTTCACCTTGAGAGAACATTTCCTTAGGAAACTCTAGTCCTCTAGCATTACTCTGTGTTCAACTTCTGTCAGAGGCTGACCATAGAATTGCATTGGAGAACCTCCATATGCCTAGAAAAGTAGACCACAAAGTTGTGCTGATGGATGTGAAGATTCCTGGAGATAATGTTAATCAAATTTGCAATGGTTCAACCCTCAAATGTGGAAGGTCAATAAGAAGAAGGGGTGGGTGGAGGGAAAGAAAGCAACTATGCAGTCACGTTGAAGGTTGTTGATGTCCTTTCATCATTCTATTCATTTTTTTAACAGAGGGAAACCCCATTTGCAGTGGACCAACTTTGACCCTTTAGAGTTCTTAGAAGAGTTAAAGAAAATAAACTCTCAAGTAGATACCTGGGAGGAAATGCTAAATAAGGCAGAAGTTGGTCATGGGTATATGGATCGACCTTGCCTGAATCCCGATGATCCTGACTGTCCTATCACAGCCCCAAACAAAAATTCAACCAAAGTAAGTTAATTTGTCTTTGCTAGCTGACTCCAAAAAACTGTGGTAGAAATGGCTGAACTATGTTTTACATGTTGAGCGAGTGCGCTTATTATCAAAAGACCCTCCCCATAAATGTATAGCAGAGTAACTTAGCGGCAGCAGCATGACCCAGCACCAGTAGCCAAAAGCGATTTAAAAAACATACAGACCAATGTTATCTCTTCCATAGGAGGCTCTTCTTTATAGCAAAATAATATGGTTGCACTATTTACAAAAACAAGGTTTCCATAATACAAATGAAGTTCTTTGCACTTCCTTCTTTGCTTCCACGCTGGGCTTCTTTCTCATGCAGGTGAACAGCTTCGCTCTCACCGCTGCCTATTTTCTTCCTGTGTCCCCGAGTCTCCTTTACTTCATACTTGAGCATTTGCCATTGGATGTGTGTTATGATTTTGGCACATATATTCATGATGGGAGTAGAGGAGCTGATAAAAAATGTCTTGAGGCAAGAGTGACATTTTACAAGATTAATCTTTGCTTAATAGTTGGTTTTCCTGATTTTTTGATATTTTATGCAGTATTATGTCTCCAGCTTTGTTCTTTCTTTGAAGTAAAATTGTTTAGGATGTCAATGACTTTGAATCTGTAAGATAATAATAACAATAACAATTTTTATGATGGTGATGTTTGTTTATATTCCACTTTTTCTCTCCACAAGGAGATTCAGAACAGCTGAAATCACTAAGCTGCTTCACGTAGTGATAGAATAGTTGAAGCTGTCATTTAAAATGATTGTTATTGATTGCTTCCACTTACAATCTTTAAGGCCATAATATCAGTGAAGGCAGACGTTAGTAATAAATTTAATAAACCCCTAACCCAGCTGTTTCCCAAATTTGATTTATCAAATGTTACCATGTGGCCAGTGTTAAGAAATTCTGGCAGATCAAATCCAAGAAACTTGGGAACCACAATTCTCACTGTGCATATTAAGAGATTCTACATTTCACTCAATAATATGATTTTCAATAATGTCCATTAAAATATAAATGTATATGTGAGCACAGATACCTCCTTGAACACAGAGAGAGGACAAATAGTGAGGAGAGCCAATGTGTCTTTAAAAAGTATGTGTGGGCCAATTATTCTAATTTTCGATTAGAATAATTGTGCATGTTGAGAACAATTTCACCTAGACTGCACATTTGGATGAGACTTTCATGGTATAATCATTATACTTCCTTTTATTGGGGAGACTTAATGTCATATTTAACATTTAATACATTATATGAGATGGAAAAATATATAACTCAGTATATTAAACGCATTTGTTTTAAGAACAAAATTATAGATATATTAATTATCAAGTGACATACTCTGAAGGATATAGAAGATTCAAACAATAACAATTTACAAGGCACTGTGGGTTGGATTATAATAAATAGGAGATTTGGGTTTTTTATTTAAGGATTTGCTCTTTGAATTTCTAAGAATTTAGGAGACATTTATAAAGTATCCTTGCTTGACTTCACTAAAAGCCTAATGACATTACTAGAGTGGGCTCTACTTTTCTTCTTTCCCCTGCTTGGTTATTTAATTGCCTTTTGGAAAGTTTGGTAGGTAAGGAGGGAAATCCACAGCTGCTCCTGAATTAGTCCTGACAAGTCTGAAAAAATGTTACAAATTCTGTATAACTTGAGATACTTATGCTTCCTCAATGCTGTATGATTCTATAACTGTGTAACATCTTTGATTACATTTTAGCCTCTTGATGTGGCCCTTGTTTTAAGTGGTGGATGCTATGGGTTGTCAAAAAAATACATGCATTGGCAAGAAGAACTAATCATTGGTGGCACGGTTAAAAATGGTACTGGAAAACTTGTCAGGTAAGACTCATGGACCAGTAACACAATGTTTCATGATGCATCAGCTATTTCCTTCCTAAATTAGTTGCTCAAAAAACTTTTTTCCAGCTGTAAAAATAAAAAACAGCATTATGTAAATTAGGTCTTGATGTAAGAAAGTATCTTGTTTTAGGACATGGAATGGTTTTATATGTATCTGCTTTCTTTCATCTGCAGTCTTACTGCATAATACATTAGTTTTTAACAGCTTGGGAGCAAACTCATAACATTGTGAGTTTCAATTAATACACAACAGCTTTTTAGGTGATGTGTTCATGTTTCACACTTTGTATCTGTACTTTAAGAACACAAAGAGGACTTATGGCTTCGTTTACAGCAGGGGCTGGGCGACTGTGGAAGGATAGTGGGCCGTATTAGAGCCCAATGAGACCTCAGAGAACCATACTGCACACTGCACTTGCTTCACAAAGCAAACAAACAAAACAGTTTTTGTTCCAAAATGTTCTTTGCAGACAAGGAAGCATTTTCACCATGTTATGAGGAACATTTCAGGTCCAGGAGAAGCCTTTTTTCACAATTGGAAGTGAGCAGAAGTAATTTCCTGTTCAGTTGTTGTTGTTGTTGTTAACTGTTGTTGTTAACAGCCACACACTTTGATCAATTTAAAACAAAACAAATACAAAATATTTTAAAAACCAATTAATCTTAGGTGTAAATTGGCTCTGAATGGGTCTGAAATATTGTGGAAATGACCCCATACACCGAAATAGCATATCATGCCCCCCCCCCCAAACAACTCTGGAAAAGTTTTCAAAACAATTGTTTGATCCCTGAGATGACCAGGGGATCTCCAAATGTAGTAGAAATGCCCTTCATGCTCCCTAGAGTGCTAGCATCGGGACTTTTGAAAATACATTAACCCCCCCCCCAGACACTGGTGACAGAAACCTTCACATTGGTTTGACCTAAAAATAACAATGGCTGTCAAAAAAGCAACTGAGATATATGAAAAACAAAGCTATTTCATACTAAGCCAGACAGTTCTTCTATTTACGATGATATTGCAGTATTACCAAATTTAAGAAAGTTACATTTTTGGACTTCAACTTTCAATTCCTGGCTATGATGGCTGGCAGCTTATGGGAGTTGTAATTCAAAAGGTACCATTTCTAGGCTTTGCAGCAACTCTTCATGGTCTTAAACAAGGATTTTTCCAGTTTTGCTAACCAAAACTCATTTCAAAGTTTTCATTTTGGGACATTGTGCATTGAAAGCAGCTTCTAGGGAACTTGAATGATATGCCCTTTTCTTTTTCTAACTTTTGCTTTTTTTTCTTTCAGTGCTCAAGCTCTGCAAACCATGTTTCAGTTAATGACTCCAAAGCAAATGTATGAACACTTCAAGGGCTATGACTATGTTTCACACATCAACTGGAATGAGGACAAAGCTGCTGCAATTCTGGAAGCCTGGCAAAGGATGTATGTTCAGGTAAAATACTTACATGGAGAACTATTTATTTTTACCCTGAAAGCCATTAACCAAATTTACCAGAAGAACTGTTATTTTCATTGAGGCCCAGTGTGTGTTCCCTTTGCATTTCTTTTAGGGAAATCCCTTGAGGAAGAATTAATTTTTGAGATGTGTGTATGCTATCATTTCTATAACTTAAATGAAGGAACATTTAACCTTTTTCTTTCTAAAGATTTGACTTTATTATAGTCTAAATGAGGGGGGGGGGGGGGAAATGCTCATCATGCCATGGATGCCATGAAAGCAAAGGGGGAAAAACAGCAAAGTTAGCTGAGTTGAGCATAAGAAAAATTCAAGAATACATATTACTGTCATTAATTACATAAGGCCAGCTCAAAAGGTCACACAAAATGGTATGAAATACACATAGTTGCATACCTTTTAACTTGTGTATTTTAAAACCTCCTTGTGCACCCTTCTCATTTGTTTATCTGACAGTGAACTGCCATTTCTGAAAGAGAAATGGTTTTAAAAACACTTGGTCAGTGTGATTATCCAGGAAAGGTGTCTGGAAAACATTAGCCAGCCGCAGAATCTGTTCACAGCTGCAGTCCCCTTGGTGAGGTCATGTGACATGATCTGGCCTTTGTTTTCCAGGCATTGACCTCTGCCGAGCTGCTGGTGACCTTTCTGAAGTGTCCAGCCAATGAAGAAAGAGAGGATTGCTCTTAAGAATTTGTTGTTTTAGATTAGAGGCACAACTGATATAACAACAAATCCACCCTGGACTTATGGATAAAGAGAGCTGAAAAATTGTGGGGAGGGAAGGGGGGGGAGGGGGGGGGAGTGTGAGCCATGAACCTTCCTCAATTTCACTGTTTTAAATAAATTGCAATTTTCCCCTACTCAGAGGCACACATTCTTATTTGATCTGCAGCAGCCTGCTGTGCCTCTGTACCAAGTATGGCAATTATGGAACAAAAGGTCAATGACACGTCCTCTACTCTATGTGTGTGTGTCTGCATTCATGCAAGAGAGAACATCTGATTTTAAGTATTATTTGCAGGAATGCATCGTATATACGTTAACGCACCTTGATGTGATCTTACTTCCAATTTTTGTCTCACAGGTTGTACATCAAAGTGTTGCACAAAACTCTACTCAGAAGGTGCTTTCCTTTACTACAACTACTCTTGAGGACATCCTAAAATCATTTTCTGATGTCAGCGTTATCAGGGTCGCCAGTGGCTATCTTCTCATGGTAAGATGGAGAGAATATTCATTTTGTTTTTCCTTTGGTGGAGCTGTGTTATATCATAGTAAATCATCGTACCAACCATTCTTTCTATGTTTTAAGCAACTCTGAAATCTGCATTTTTATGCCACTTTTTTGGTCATGTAACACATCTAAGGAAGGTCTGTCATTCATTAGGCAGAGCACAGGCTTGGCATGGGCAAGGTTTGATCTCTGTGGTTTTCAGCTAAATGGTAACAGAACTAGAAGGGGGTTTGTCTCAGACTTTGGAGCTGGGATTATTATCTACTGATAGTATTAGGCACTAGCCTTTGGGCTTCAGATCCTAGAATCCCCTAGTCAAATGTATCCAAACTTTATGAGAAATCATTGACCTATCTCAACACAAAGCAATGACATATAATATAAGTGTCTTGTTAAATAATATTAATAAGTGAATTACTTTGGTTGGTAAAGAGGAATGTTTAAGTTTGCCTTGTTCTAATGTCTTCTTTGGGTTTTTTTAAAATGTTTTTTTTTTGTTCTGCTTGCAGCTTGCTTATGCATGTTTAACCATGCTGCGATGGGACTGTGCTAAGTCTCAGGGTGCCGTGGGTCTTGCCGGAGTCTTGTTGGTTGCACTGTCAGTAGCTGCAGGATTGGGGCTGTGCTCATTGATTGGGATTTCCTTTAATGCTGCAACAACTCAGGTATTACATGAATATTTTGCCAGTTTCTCATAGTAAGTCTTAAGAAAGTCTCTAAAATATATCTGCGTTAGCCTAACAAATTAATATATCTTAATTTCAGAATAAGTAATATTACCTGTACCTGATCCGGACATACATCTGGGCAGTGAATGTTTTTCTATGGGATTTATTGCAAACAAGTACCAGAACTGCAGTTTCCATGTGGATATGAATCAAAGCATCAAAATATTTTGGAACTTTGAAAGCAAGTCCCTCAAATATGTAATAATAGCCATTATAATGAAATATCATAACATGCTAGATTTGAATATTGAAGAGGTGATCTAAAATAGCCAAAAGCTTTGGTTGAGCTTCAGTAAGGACTATTGCCATCAAGACAAAAGTATCTGTTAATTGTGAACAACTGGAATAAAAGAAAGATATGGAGATAGGTAGCACTCCAGCTGTTGAACTGTAGTTAGTCAGATGTCGCTGAACAGATCTGGTAGTAGTGACGGATGATGGTAATTGTAGTTCACTATCTCTGGTAAGACAAATCTAATTAGTTCTGTCTAATGAGTTTTGGAGAAGTTACATTCAAGGACTACAGGAATTATCTGTGTATTGATAAATTGGGATTTATTTTGTTTAGAGATCATCTAAGATTAGATAGAATAGCGTTCAGCCATCAATAAATGTTATGTGAATATTGTACAAACCTGAATCCTTCTCCCAGACTCAGTCCAGAACTGAAATATCTTGAGGAAGCTGAAAGAGCAGCAGTAAGAATGAAATTCAGTTTCCATGAACAGTTGACAGTTTTATGTCACAAGATCAGGGCATTTACCAATGAGCGCTAATGTATGCATGTCAAGTGAACAGAAATCCATATGCAAGAAATTACGGTATTATCTGCAATGGCTAAGTCATGTTTTGGTAGGTGTCCTTTAACTGTCTTTGGTATTTGTTTCCTCTTTATGCAGGTTTTACCCTTTCTTGCTCTAGGAGTTGGTGTGGATGATGTCTTTCTTTTGGCACATGCATTTAGTGAAACTGGTCAAAACAAGAGAATTCCATTTGAGGTAAATGCAAATGCATTTTGACAGTCCAAATCATACCATATATTATTAAAAAATTGTACCATTAATGGTTATCTTTATCTTCTATCCTGAGTCAAACTTTAGAAATAAGAAGCTTTTGGTGACAAGAGAATGTCCACATGAATTTTGGATGTTTTTTTTTACCTTGACAGTAGTTAAGTGTTCCTTAATGAAAAATAAATTTCTATTATTATGTTCAAATATATCGTACCTGATTACTTGTCTGTCATGTAAATGGCATGATGTAATTTCTCATGTGTTCTAAAACTTCATATGTTTCTTTGCAGGATAGAACAGGGGAATGTTTGAAACGCACTGGGGCAAGCGTGGCTCTTACATCCATCAGTAATGTCACTGCATTCTTCATGGCTGCCTTGATTCCTATTCCTGCTCTACGGGCATTTTCCCTCCAAGTAAGCTCATAAAACTTGTTGTGATGTGTATTGTGCTGACTGTATTCTGGTCCTTTCATCCAAGAACTGGTATGATCCAGGGCACTGTGCTCTGCTTGGAAGAATTATGCAAACTTTTTCTGATGACTGGTTGGCTCTTCCTGGACTGAGATGATTCATTGTAGTATGGGTAACCTGCATATATTCTAGTATATATTTAATTTCAAATGTGGCTGTTTTTATAAACATGGTTGGTAGATGTGTTGCACTGCCTTTTATTTTATGGTGCTATATGGGAATATATTTAAAAAGAGAAAAGTTGATGCAGGTTTTGAAAAACCTTGATTCATGGACTTAGAATGGATGGCCATCTGTCAGGGGTGGTTTGAATGAAATATTCCTGCTTCTTGGCAGGGGGTTGGACTGGATGGCCCATGAGATCTTTTCCAACTCTTTGATTCTATGATTAGAAACTGAAATTTTCAAGCAAAATGTTTTTGCTTGGGAATTGTTGTTTGCTGGTTTGTTTTGGTGTGTAATTCAAAAATTTTGGAATGCTGAGTATGTTTATGATCCTCAAAACTACAGAAAATTAATGTTTATTTAAAAAAATAAAAGATAGCATTCAAAGAGGAACATAAGGGCTACATTGTTCTTGTACAGTATATCATATCACTCACTCCAGTATTAGATAATGTATGCACAAGGAGGTAGGACAGTATTCCTTTATGGTTTGATATTTCCCCCTCCGCATCTACCTAAAATGATTTCTAATTCAATGAAATACCATGGGCTTAGGTTTCAAAACAGCTGATTGATTTTGAAGCTGGCATTTTAGGTGGTGGTTAGTAATAGGCCGATGAGCTGACTTGGATATCAATTGACCTTGACTGATGTATTCTCTGGAAGGAAGTTCATTGTGATTTTGGAACATTCCTATCATTTCCTAGGGATAAGACTGAGTTGTTATCTTTCTGCATATGTATGAATGTGTGCACACAAACTAATTTTGAAGTCTACTGTAGGACATGTATTTTAATCAGTTTATATTTACATTACATGATTTGCAGTTTTCATATTATCCACTAACCGGGTATTTAACAAGTATTATTCTGCTGTTTTCCTTCTTGCAAATGATGGTAGAATTTGTCTCCGGAACTGTAGGAGCACCAGGGAAGTAGTGTTTTAGGAACAAGATATACAAATGAACACATTTGTTATTGTTTGCTTTCTTACATGTTTGAATGTTGTTTTTGGTACTGCTCTGATTTTTACTGATGTTTAGTGGAAACTGTCATTTCCACATTTCTGTGTTAAGTTCCATAGTTCAAGTGCTAACCAAAGTTAACTGTCTAGCCGCACTGCATTGCAGTCCCAAACACACTTCTCCAATGGCTGTAGAAAATCTTTTAAATGAAACTTAATCCTAGCTGAAATCCAAACATGCAATAAAATACAGATTAATGTATTACAGTAAATCTCAGTCCCATGGTCATCATGGATGTTATGCTTAACTATAGTTAATGCCAATAGTGGTTTGCAAACTCCCTTCAAACCATGGCTTTGCACTCTTGGAATGCAACCAGTTCCTAATCATAGTTAAGATGTGACCATTACTAATAGGTTCAGGGGTCATCCGGTCCAACTCTCTGCTATGCCCATCTAAAGCAGCCAACCGTCATTTAAAGACCTCCAAAAAAGAAGGGTATGTCACCTTCCATGGAAGTCTATTCTGCTATCAAATAGCGCTTATAGTCATGCTCTTTTTAATGTTTAGGCGAAATATCTTTTTGTGTAATTTAAATCCATTTGTTCATGTTGTAGTTTCTGGAGAAAAAGAAAACAAGCTTGTTCCATCTTCTACATGCCATACCTTCAGATATTTAAAGACTGCTATCATGTCCCCTTTGAGCCTTTTGTTGTACAAGCTAAACATATTTGGCTTCTAATCTGTTCCTCCTCAGATTTCATTTCCAGACTTTTGATCATCTTGATCGCCCTCTTCTGGGCACATTCTTCCTTCTCAGTATTCTTGAATTATGGTGCCCAGAATTGGACCCAATATTCTAGATGCAGAATATTGAGTGGAAGAAGGGTCCTACCATATCCCTCAATCCGGACACTGTACTCCCTGCTAGTGTTTAGAATTACCTTGTTTTTTCTTGGCTGCCACATAAAAGACAAAAGAATGCCTAAAGTTGACTTCAAGCAATAGCTTCATATTCTGGTTTGTCTGGAAGCCATTAACTGTGCTATTGGTTTAGATGTAATTCACTGTTCTAGTGAATTCTGACTTTTTGGCATGTGTCCTCCCAGTAGTGCAAATGGAGGAGTGAAGTAGATGCATGTAGGGATAGGAGTCTCATTCGAATCTGAACTTAGTAAATCTTGATTTGACTCTCTGTCTGAACATGGCCATTCAGGACCAAAGTGTGGAATTGATATATTATGTCACAATTTTGTCAGGCAACGTGGCTTCTTGTTACTGTCTAAAACAATTATATCATATTTTTGATTTAGTACATTCTTTAGACCCAGAGCTAAAAAAAAATGAACTGACTTACATAACTTGAATAATTAATATGACTAATGATTCACACTTCTGGATTATTCATGTCAACAATGTATTGCTGATTCCATCCAGCAACATTCTTCCTCCAACTGCTGTTTTAAATACAATGTGAAAGGCAGTTAGCAATCTCTTTTCTCTTGCCTTACTTTGCTCACATGACTATTCGAGATGAATACTCGATCATTTGTACAAATCAGAATTGATGTGTGGCAGCAATGTGAAACACATATGCAGGTTATAATTCATACATATACACACACAAAATTTAGGGGTTTTCCCTATTAGAGACATGAATGTTCATGGAGTCCTGTTGGTACAGTTGAGTAATTGTAGATATTGGACCTAAACATAATAATATGCCAGGGACCCTCCACCATTGATCTCATTGTGCCAATGAAATTCAGTACGGTGGTGAGAGAGGGTGGAAAGGCCCCACTGCAACTTACTCATTAAACTAAGGCACTCGGGGAGCATGTGCGCTGCTTGGGAGCCCATTACTACTCTAGAAAACTTCTAGAATTCAAATAAGCCAAGAAAGTTCACTTTTTTTGAATACAGAAGTAGCTTCTTTCCAAACCAAAATTGACCTGTTTTCACCAGCATATTAGTGGCGGTTCCCAGTGAGTATAGAAGGCAGCATTGTACTTCCAACTCCTCGCAGTTGCTCACATTTAATTTGTAGGCTCTGATTTGATATAGTATTTAATATAGAAATTGGTCGTGGGTTAAATCTTTCTTATCCCCAAAATTAGGGTTTGTTCAGGGTATTATTTTAAGTGCTACCTAATGTATATTCATAATATAGCCATGCTCGTTCTATTTCTGAAGTCTGCCTTCCAAAACATGCAAAGAAGGTCCTTTCACTGGATGTGATTCTAGTCGCTAGGATTGACAGTTGTTATGATGATGATGGTGGTGGTGTTCATTTATGCCCTTCCCTTCTTTTTCTCTCCACAAAGGAGACTTAAAGTAACTTTTTAAAATCTAAAAATTTTCAAAAATTTAAACCGGATTAAATATCAATGGTGTTTTTAAAATCACAGTTAAAATCCATAAAAACTGATTAAAAATATATTCAAAGATGAAACCACAGCACTGAATTGATCTTTAAAACAGTTGTGCATGAGATCATGAAGTTGCTTCCCTGAGCTTGATAAAACAGAACCATGCTCCATGTATGGACTCTTCAACTAAGCCCTTGTGCCACCTGTATGTATATCCTTGTGTCTTTCTATGGCTATATGAATGTCAACCTATGGCTCTATGAATGTCAACCTCACATAGTATGTTGGTATGTGCATATGTGTACGCACACCTTTTTTTGCTCCATTGTTGAAATAGTGACTTTTTTCCAAAGAGAAAATGAAAATGCACTGGTGGATACTGCTTCTATCGATTGAACGGAGCTCTGGGAGGTTCTCCTTTGGAATTGTTCCAACACAGAGAGGATTTATAGCACACTTTGACCTTGGTAAAGACCTTGGTAACTGTACTTTCTTAGCAGCCATTTTTCTTCTCTTGTTGTCTGATTCACCAATCATTTTTCATTCTACTAGATACTTTACCTTACCAGATGAAACAAGGACTATATATATATATATATATATATATATATATTCCTTAATACCTGTTGCAACTATTGTGATTTTAAAGATTTGAACATAACATTGTGTACGTAGTGCTACAAATAGAAGTGATTCCATTTTTCTTGTGATTTTTTTCTATTTTTGTTTCTACTTACTGCTCAGATTCTGTAGCCTACTAGTCAAAGTAGAGAGGCAGTTTTATGTGATTACCAGTCTTTTCTTTGGCTGCAGATAACCTACAGTGCTTTTTGGAGAGACTTTCTTAGCTATGGGTTCTGCATCTTGACATGCATATATAGCCCAATTTCCATGGATGCAACTATATTCATGGCTAAATTCCCACCCTTTATGCACCACTCTGTGTTTTCCTATGAATGAGATAAAATATTCCTTGTCTTTTAGATTGATCCTTAAAATCCCTGCTTCATCTGTACTGCCACATCATGCGCTGCTTTTAAAAGTCAAAAGCAATTTGTGTTCTTGTATCTTGGCAAGAGGAGAACCTCCACAAAATCATGTAATCCTTGAGAGTGAATAGTATCTTGCTGGATAGAAACAGTACATTTTTCTTGTAAGATTATTGAATCCCTGGTAATTCTGGTCCAACAACATCAGGAGGGCCATAACTTGCTGCTCCCATTTATAGAAACATCAGCTAACTTTTTTGCACCATTATCATGCTTTTGCTACTTATCTCAGTTGCCCCATTTTTCATGCATCTGCTTGTAATTTGTTCTTTTTCTTGCAAATGATAGCCACATTTTTGTGTACCACCCACGTTTGTCATGGCAGATCCTAATGCTAACCCACTTTTTAAACTCTGGATTTATTTATTTTTAATACAATTCATACTTCAGAGCTGG